CATGCCCAAAACTTCACCAGGGATGTAACTACAAAGGTCAGGCCCACCCCTGCTGCCCTGCAGGAGACACCACCTATGCCAGATGAACAAGCTGCTGCTACTCTGGAGACAAACCCTGCATGACTTTGAAATGAATGCTCCACTAGGGTCCCAAACCCTGCCTGGAGTCTTTAGGCCCTGAGGTATCCCCTAGAAGTGAACAACCTGATTGCAGATGAGGTGACAGGGAGTGTATCTGCACTCTTCCACTTACTTGCTGCACAATTGCCCTCTAGTCATGCCAGCTCTCTGCAGTATCATTTCCTGACTTTGTTTGTACCACATGCAGATTCAAGTTATTTTGACTGAAGTCAGTCAGCCAGACAGCCTAAATACCACTTATCTGGACCAAGGCTGGCGTAACAACCCTTGATCTTTTTGGAAACCCTAGGCAACACTGCACTGAATTTGGATTGTAAGGCCAAAGCCATGCAAACTTTAAAGTGAATAAACAGCTCTATACCCTGCTGTATTGACTAAGTAAGGAAATCTACCAATTTAGTGGAAAATACAATCATAGGCATAACATCCAAAGAAACTTCCTAAACACTTAGTTTGAAAAAGATTTCTCAGAACTGCTGACAGATTGGGTTTTTTTAAAGTTATGACTATTCCTAGACACCTTAGTAGCATGCTAGCTACAAGGCTAGCACTGACTAAAAATACTTTTTAGTTAAATATTACAGTTAATGTCAAAAGTCAATGTTAAAAGTTAAACATATGTTTGAAGTTAAAATGCCGCAAAAGACCAAATTACCTTGTGTAGAACTGACAAAGTCTTTCATGATTGTTTTTTCTTCTTTCATATTTGTATTCATGAACAGCTCCTGTAACACTGTTCTTAGGAGCATCATTACAATCAAGAGATATACACTGACTATTTCATCCAATTCTTGACAAAAGCAGTGACTGCTTTTCATTGTCTTGCAAACTTCTATGGCTAACCATAAGTATCTTTAAACAAGTTACACTGCACTATACTGACAAATGTACAGATTGTACAATACATAAGACCTTGAATTTTTCAACTTTCTAGCTACATAGGCAGCCAAACACAACACGTAATGAGAGGATGTTCAGATGATAGATTGCAAAGTCCACAGGATACAGTTCAGCTTTTCACCTGCAAATGTAGATCTCTCTGATTGTTGATACAATTCTTTGTATCAGCTCACATACCTGAATTGAGATTTATAGTAAATTTGTAGGATAGCAATGTAAATTCACAGCTGCTTTACTCCATGCAGATTCTTCCACTAGCAATGCTATTGATGAGTATTCTAATAACACAGGTTGGCAACAGAGTAAGCAACTGATCTGGGGAACAGACAGAAAGAGATGTAAGGGGTCAGCCATCAGCTCTCATCATCTCTCAGTCTTCACCACACTTTAGCCTTCTAGTTTTCACAGCAACATGGGCATCTGAACTGAACAAACATCCTATTTCAACCCACACACCCTTCACCTGTTAGTGTTAAGTTACTCAAACTCCTCTGAAGATACAGATAGATGGGCCCTTGGGAAGTCAACTGGTGTTTTTGCTAATGTCTTTGACCCAGACAAAGTCAGGGTTTCAACCACCAGGAAACAAACCAGGCATGCACCAAGCATTTCCTTCCATCCAAGGGGATAGAAGCATTCATCAAGATTCTGAATTTCCATAGAAATTACTCCTTTTCACTTCCACAGCATTTAACTACTCTGTTGTGATATATTTTGGCATTACTGGCTGCATAACTTATAAATTGGGGAAGTTAAAAATCTGCTGCAGTAGAGGAAATTACAGTTTATGTTCAAACTGGAACAGAGCTCCATCTATGGTAGTCTTTAGTTCCCCTAAAGGTTTCAGTCAGGTGTGAGCTTCTGATTGTACCTTTTATGTTCCGCTCAGTATCTCTGTCTTTGGGAGTATACCTAGTGGCAACTCAGCTTGCCAAGCTACTGAAGAAAGTCAAAGGAACCGAGTCCACTATCACAAATGAAATGAAAAATCAGGACATTTAATCAACACTCCCTGAAGCAGGACCTCACTGTACATATTTGAGGTTTAAAGAATTCAAAGGACTTCTACATACTTTTCATAATTTCTACATTAACTGGTTCCTCCACTGTCACTCTATACCAGAGCAAAAATGAACCTTAGTATCAACATATTTTCTAGAAAGATGTTTGTCCAGCATGGGAAAAGATCCATTTTTCCATAGGTTATGAATGTAGAGACAAGAAACTGGGAACTCCAAAACCAAGCAGCTCCCCAGTGTCGTTCTTGAAAGCTCCATCAGGACAAAAGGATATGATGTGTCAGATCTCACAGCAGTCACCTAAATATCTTCAAGGCTCCAGTCAGCTACACTTAAGTACCTAATTTATCTTGTATTTTCTCATTTAGATATTCTAAAAGTCTTCCTTCTCCCATAAATCTAGACCATACACATTAGGATAAGAACCCTAAAGCAATAGCTTTACTGTTTGAGGAATGTTTCAGCATCAGGACCTAGAAATGATTACATGGAACCTTAACTTTCAGAAAGAAAAAAAAAAAAATACATGCTACATTCCATAGAACACTTGGAAATTTAAATCTGATCTGAATTTACATCTGATTTTATGCCCTTAATTATCCAGAGACAAGTCATGGGGTTTTCTTTATGTGATTTTTTTTTTTCCTAAATAAAGGCCACAGTAACAAAGCTTCTCGCCAACAATAAGACTTCCCTTGTAAACTGCTTCCCCCCCACAAAAAAAAAAAAAAAAAAGTGCAAAATCCTTCAAGCAGGGTGAAAACACAAGTAAAAGTGATGAACTGCTGAAAGACTTCAGCAAAAATTTCAGCCAGTCACAATGTTAGCTACAGAAAATATAAGGATGTCCTGCTACAGCACCTCAGAGATTCTCATAACTGACTCATAGCAACTGACTTAGTGAGATACAGGTGAGCATTAAATCTGTCACTATTTTCTCTAGTGGGGATGAGGGAGGTCAGAGTTTTTTTCTGGACTTATCTCTTTTTTCTTTATTTACGAGACAGATATCATATTTTCCACTATGTGTTTTTACAGCTCTTCATGTACTGAAATCTTGGTCCACAAAGGCAGGCTGTAGGCTCCCATAATAAAAAAGCCAACTGTGGAGCATAATAAACATGCAAACAAAATTAAATCATTCCGGTCTTCTTAAAAAAAAAGTTTTCAGATTTATTTTTTTTTTGTGATCTAGTTTCAGGTGAAGTCAAACTTAAATCCATATCGGGAAGGAAAAAGTTCATTTAAAACTTTATTTCTCCTGCAGCAATACTAACATAAAAGATGTCAGAAGATAATTTTCTATCCACTCTGCCCAATTCCCTCAGCCTTGCAACACTAGTGATGCTGGAACCTAACAAAACCAAGTTTACATTGTCTGACAGCTACAAGTACTTCTTTTTTTTTCTTTCTTTTTTTTTTTTTTCCTGGAAAGAATTATTAGATTGTACCACTGGTCAGTGTTTTAGTCATTTTTCCTAGAAAAGATTCCATTGAACAAAGATGCAATTTAAAGCAGTAGTGTTTAAACTGCCCAGAAGCCTAAAATACTACTAGGCCTAATGCATCACCAATACTTAGCATATACAGATAAAAAAAATAAAATGTTTGTAATTGTCTGATTCATCCACACTGATATTTATAATGAAGTAGGTAAGAATCACATGCTTTCACAAGCCTAAAAGAACATTTTAGTTCTTGGTAAAATGCCTTAAGAGAATTATGTTTCCTAGGAGTGCACAAAGTGTTTAAAGGCCTGATGATGAAGCAGGAATAGGAAAATGAACACTACAGACTGGAACTATTGGGGAAGATAGGGAACAGGAGGTCTGAAAATGGACCTGAAATGACCGTTTCAAAGTGCCTAGTTTCTTGTGCTACTGACAGACAAACATCATTTCATGGGAAAATGAAGATGGATTAGAAGCACAGCACACCTGGCATGCTAGATAGTCTAACCCAAATCTCCCTAATGGTAATTTGTTCACATTGAACCAAGTGCTCAGATCAAGCTCACCAAGGGAGAAGTTACCTTTGCACAAAATCCCTTTGCAATGGATGTCGAGTCTCTCTGAGGCCCACCAGGATGCTAATAACTACAGATAGCTCATGGTCTCTTTTCTTCTCCTCCCCCAAGAGTTTCACTTCAGTGTAAGTCACCAAGAAGAGTGCCACTTAATATTCTGCCATAAGACTACAAAAGACATCTTCATGAAGGGAACACAAACACAGTTTATAACAACGCCACCATTTAGCATCACTTTCTTCTAATTTTAAGATATTTTAACTTTTTTTTTTTGTCCCCTTTCTTTTCTGTTAACAGTATTTGCACAAACTCCAAGCTCTGAGCAGAAGGGCTGCATTGCCGGCAAAGCACAAGACTGAATAATGACGCGTCAGGAGCGCTCCTCTCGCCCCGTGGCACAGCCCTCTTTTGCAAGGCTTGTTCATCAGTGGAGGGGGTCACAACACATGAGCACATTGCTTCTGGCAAAGTATTCCTGCGATTGTATCACTGGGCTTCTTCAATTTAGGATACAGTGCCTTGCATTGCACGCAAAGTGGAGCGAAACCTTCCATTTAATTGCAGAGTTTACAGAAGTGCCCATCCCTGATGCAGCGGAGAGTGATTCACCAGGAAAGTAGCGATAACATCGGCCCAGGGGCCCGGCGCGCCAGGCCCGGGGTCGGTATTTACATCGGTGACTTTTATAATCTCCCTTCCTCCCGCTGACATGCTCACCTCGGACCTGGAACAGCACGGGGAGCGCTTCCACACGGCGGAGGCGCGCGTCCTACCCTACAGTTCCACACAAGCTGCTGTAAAACACCCGCTGTAGGCCCCGACTCTTCTCAGAGCATCGCGGCCAGCGCCCAGTCCAAAGCCTCGGTACCAGGGGTGTGCGGGAGGGGTGCAGGGGAAAGGGGCTGATGCTGTCACTACCCACCGCGCTCCAACACCGCCCCCGCCGAGGCCCCGGCCCCGCCACCCCCGTCACCCCATTCCCGCCCGCAGCCGCCCCGCTCGCCCCAGGGCCGGGCACAGGGGGGCGGCCCGAACCCAGCGAGGGCCCGCGGGGCGCTGCGGCCCTTCCCGCCGCCCTCTGACGGGCTTCCCGTGCCTGGCAGCCCCTTCCCGGTTGGCTGGACACCGCCCTGGTCACCCCTTTCCCCGGCGGGCGGGGGGACAGCGAACACCCCCCACACCCCTGAGGGGCTCCGGCTGCTCTTACCCGGCCCCGGCGAACCCGCTCGCAGGGGCGCGGCGGGGGCGGCGGCGGCTGCAGGGCGTGGAGGGGCGGGTGGGACCCGGCCCGGCCCGCCCCGCCGTGACGGCGACGGCGAAGGGAGGTACGGCCCTGCCCGGCCGGTGCCAGAGCAGGGCGGGCCGGGGCCGGGGCAGGGGCGGGCGTGGTGCCGCTTGGGCCTCCGGGGGGACCCCGCTGCTGGAGGGCCCGGGGGCGTCCGGGGGGAGAGGGGCAGCCCTGTGCGAGCGGAAAAAATGGGGATAGGGAGCGGGGAGAGTGTAATTTAGGCAATAGATACTGTTGCGTCCGGAAGTAAGGGGTAAACATGAACAAGGAAACGATATTGCAGAGAAAAACACGAAGTTGCTACGTTAAGACCCTGCTTTGCAGCTCCGCCTTCAGCTTGGGTCATTTCTTCTCCAAATGGGAATGGACACTTCAAAGAGAGTGAGTGGGAAACTGCAGATCTATTTAAAGGTGCCTTTAAAGCAGAGGTACATGATATACAGCTGAGAGAGGGGCCAAGTGATGCCAGGAACAGGAGGAAAGAAGGGTGCGTTCACACGGCTGCCAGGACTGGGCTCGGGAGGAGGAAGAGGAGGAGGAGGCCACGCGTGGCTGCGAGGGCAGTAGCCCCGGCACCAGGGCTCCTCCTGACCCAGCCGCCTGAGCAGGAGAGACTGGTGAGCCCCGAGGCTCTCCTCAACCTGCACGGCAGCTGAGGCGCTTCCTCATGCTCCCCACTTCTTCAAAGCGAAAATGTCAGGGCCAAATGCTCCCTAGAGCCCCGGGGCTGGGCTGCTTCATCTGGAGGATATCCCCGTGCACATTAAATACAGAGCAAACATCCCACAGCACCCGGTTGCTGGGAATGCTGCTGCCTCTGCAGAGCCTAGCCTCACCTAGGGAAGAGCTGCAGAATTTGAGAAGTGCAAGTTTGTTTCTGCTTCATCATAGATCTTGGTGATTGCTAAGATTTAGAAATAGCTGGAGCAGTGAAAACTTAATAGGCATCCTAATCAAATAATAATAGAAAAGTCCATTAAACTACCAACACAAAGGAGCGAAGCTAAAGATCTGAAAAAACAAGACTACCCTTTACGTGGTTCTCAATGGGTCTGCAAGCATGCTGAAAGGAGAGGCAACCTAACCTGCAAGACTCGGATGCCTACAAATAGTTTTTATGTTAACTGATGCTTGGAAATGTCATTTTCTCACTTTCATGAATTAAAGTTACTAGGGAAAAAAACATTCTGATATGCCTTTTGTTAAAGGAATGCTGTATACATGGTCAATCTACTTTTAATAGGTTATTAGCAATGATTTTAGTATTACTATCTGGACAGGTGTTTTCCCCATGCTGTTGACATACCGAAGCTGATCCAGGATGATCCCACTAGATGGTGCACTAATGAGAGTATAATGCAAGTCCCTTCCAAATTAAGGCCTCATCTTGATTATTATCCTAAATGTTTGTCATATAAACTTCATTCATTGAGCCCAATCACTCTTGTTTTATAAAACTTCAGCTGAGATCACTGTCAACTTTTTTCCAGAGAATAGTACATCTTTTATATATGATTTCAAAAATGTATTTCCTATTCTAGAAGTGACCCCTCATCAGTGAGAATACTTTATCTACAGATCACCACTTGGGTACTTTTTTTTTAGGCTTGGAAGTAATACACAATCATTACTGACCAATGTTCATTCTCATTCTATAGAAAGGAGGTATCCAAATGCTTTCCTAGGAATGCTGCTTGTTTTATGAAGAAAATGCTGGTCCTCACCTGCAGTTAGCTGACTTATCATCAGCATCCACCTTTCATTATTAAATAAGTAAAAATCTTTGTGATATGATTATTTAAAGCAACCAGTTACAGCAACAATGTTACAACCTGGGAGGGAAATATGGATTATAAAAAAACCTTTGCATTGAAATGTTATTCGTACTGTAAAAATACTTAAATAGCTTTTTAACATAATCATAAAATAATTATGAAAGTTACTAGAACATTGATCTGATACTGCCAAGAGCATGGTATGCCCTCAGAAGATTTTTGTTATCTCCTATAGGAAAGCCATTGACTGGGAGAACATGCCCTGTTTCACACTTCTAAATAAAACAGGAAAATTCCTTCAATTTCTTCTGCTAGCAATAGTGTATTGACAGGCCTTGTGAAGAAGCCGTCTCTAAGTGTTATCATCAGAGTTCCTGAAAGGGAGTACTGCTACACCATTTTGTCTCTAAATGCATTTCATTGGCTTCTCTCTAGACTTCCCACACAAGCATTACCTTGGGATTGAGTTCAGAATCATGTATTCATTTATGTTTCCTGTTTCTTATGGAACATGATCAGATTTCAAATGATTAAATGAAATGGGGAAAGCTCTGGGGAAAAAAAGGGGAAAATGTTGAGACCCTGCTATGCATATTCACAGCGTACCATGGAGGATGCTCTGGATACTTACTGACTTAAGGGCAGAGTATCTGCCAATTATATTCTAGTAATTGTGTGTAAAACTGAAAAGAAAGGGATGTCACCTCAACCACATGCTTTTTGAGAATCCATGCACAGTATGGTATATAATGCCTGAAAGAGCTGGAAGTTAAGGCACACCAGTATGGTGTGATTTTGAAAGAGCACACCTTCCTCCTAGCCCAGTACCCAGATCTGCCCCACCTTCCTGACTGTATTCCTGCCTCCCACCTCCTTCTCCTGCCCTGGCCACAAACCAGCAGACACACAGGCCCAGCAGCGTGGGTGGCACAAGCATTGGGGCCACCAGTGACGCAGAAATAAGGCACTCATTTCCGTGCAGCTCCCCATGCCTGCATGATGCATGATGAAATGAAGAGGAAGCAGCCCAACCCTGGCCTCATGTTCCTGATGAGTGTCCTCTTTTCAAGGTGTGAGCAAGTGCGCAAGTCATTTGTAATTTACCTTATGGGCCAATTTCATTCTCTGCCATCACATTTCACTTGCACACTTTTAGCTTTAGATAGGAAAAGCAATGTTGCCAGTATTTGGTACTGATGTCAAACTGTCTGGCAGAGCTTCCCAGGTGGTTGTTACTGATGCATTCCACCATCAGCAACAATTCCTCTTATTGTCATCATCTCTGTTGGGTAATTTAATAAAAATATCCACTCCAGACTCTGAAATGAGATTAGGTTCCTAATACACCTAATGCTGAATGTAATTATGATGGATGATGGTTTTCTAGCCTGAACAATTTTATGGGTTCATTATATTGCAGAATAGCCTGTAAAACCTACTTGTTAAAAAAAAAAAAAAAAAGGAATGACAATTTGCATGTTATTTAGACTGGTACTTGCTCTCCAGTAGCAGTAATTAACATAGTAGCATGTTTTAAATAAACAGAGTAACATTCTGTTCCTGATATTGATAATGTTTCCACCCTCAAAAAAAAAAAAAGTTTACTAGCAACTTATTTTCAAATATTTCTTTGCTTTTCTGTTTAATTTTCAAAGACATATTATACTTTTATAGGCATTAGTGAAATGAGCTGACATTATTATTTCAAAGCCCAGTCTTTAAGTAGTATCTGCAAATACACAATCCCTCTAACTTCAGACAGATCATTTTGAAATAATAAACATTTATAAAGGGTATAAAATTAAATGGTAATATTTTATGCAGATAAAGAAATACTAACCTAGACAAGAAAAAATATTAAAAATAAGAGAATATATGGACTTTAAGGTCAGCACCTAGCTCTGTTGGAATCCAATAGATCTTCATTTTGAAAGTGAGGTCATTGTTGAGCAATTAATATTTTTCACTTTATAGCTCCTCATAATCTTCCTCCTACTCCTAATTTTCAACTCATAATTACCTTCATTGCTTTTTGAAATAATGTGGAATAAAAAAAAAAAAACACACACAAAGGGATCTTGGCAGAATTTGCCTAGGTAAATGAAACAGACATCAAAGATAAGGGGACAAGGGGAGTTACAAAGATGAGGTAGATGTTGTTTAAGGATATTTGCAAAATGTAGTATTAGAAAATTAGGAAAGCAAACTTGACTACTCCCAGAATTTTAGCAGCTTTTCCTGCTCACTTGTATGCTCTACCATTGTGACTGTACACATCAGTACTCTGGGTTCTGCTTTTCCCTCTCTCCATTATTTACCCTGTTATTTAGCCAAAAAGGAGATCTAGAAACAGTCACAAGATGTTATGGCATAGTATTTATATAGCAGCATAGACAGTGGTCACCCATTGCGGAAACAAGGTTCATCCACCTCCACTGAAGAAAACAGTAAAGACAGATTATGCAGTGGGACTCAAAAAAAAAGAGGGCAAATTGAATGCGTTCATGGCATATACCCTCTGTGATCAGTTGAGGACTGGTAGAAAACATCTCAAAAAACAACTAGAACTTCAGTGGATGTTCCCTTTCTTTACGGATTTGGCTACAGTGAGTTCAGAGCAGAAAGTGTCAATGAAAGATGTAAAGATGTCGCTAGGATAGACTCAGTTTGAGACTTGCAGATTTCTACATGGCTAAATGTCAAAAATTCTGTTATGTACCCCACAGATAAGCATCTAGTACCATTTAAGATGCCCAGATGGGTCCCACCTTGCTCTCAGCTACTGCTTCATTGGTGCTGTCTGTGTAGATATCTCAAGTTCCCTACGACACCTTAGCTGGCATTAGGCAAATGATTCATATCCTCTGAATACCCACTGACTACAACCTGAGCTTAAACAGCCATTCCAGCTGTAGTTGTAATCAGGACTTAGAAAATTACCATAATTATAAACACCTACCTGTACATATTAAATTTAAGAGTCTTAATCTCAACACTCATCCCACAGTCTAGGTCTTCCAGCATGTACCACAGCTTCCCTATATGTTTCTGTGGTAACTTGGCACCTGAACTTTTATAAGAATCCTATTCTACTGTTCAGTCCTTAGCCTGATGCCTTGGGTTTGGTACCCTTATTACAGAAAATCTACAGCTGCATGCAGTAGGGTATCAAGTTTTTACCTTCATGCTACAGCATGAGTAGACAGAGGAACAGTAGAAGCAGCTTTGGCTTATGTTCAAAGAAACAATGAATATAGCAAACTGGGGGTACATCAGACAGTGGGAGAATGAAGTGAGATTGAATTACACTCCAACTCCAGGCATAAGACTTCATAAATGGCACAGTTTAAGATGACCAACATTTTATGATCACTATGTATTCAGAACATCCCCCAAAAATATCATTTAAGCTCTCCTTCTCTTCTCCTTCCTCCAGTTATATGTTTTAGCTTTAATTATTTTGAATACCAACATTTTCTCTGCCCAGTGTCTTAACATTAAGGACAAAACCACAAAGGATTTGAAATAAGCACATGTCTGAACAAGTTACAATGTCCTACAGATGTAGCTAATTTTGTACTAGCAAAAGAAACTGTTCTTGCTGTACAAAAACATAATGATAAGATAAAACAGAGGAAAAAGAGTTTTACCATTAGTTTATTGCATGTATTAAAATATATAGCTTCTACAGCAATCACTGTATTGCACTGATTTCCTACAGAATATCTACTGTGCAATTGCTTTGTCTGCTTCTTACACATGTAGGGCCTGATCCAATTGCCTGCTGCATGTAGTGAAAAACTGACCACTCTTTTTAGTAAACTGTAGGGCATCTGCTAGTCTCTTGCTCTTAGCTGCATGCTTCCTATAGCTGTTTGTTTTTCTAGTGTTTGT